CCTTTCAACAGCATGAGCACAGGATTGGCATCATGTTTATATACCTGATATGGTACTTTCAAAACAATATAAACCAAAGAAAAGTTTTAAAAAAGAGGTGGGTACATTTTAAAAAGAGGTGCACATTGCCAAGAATGAAAGCCATCTTTATCTGGGAAGAAGCACCTCACCCTAGACAGTCAGAGTTTTGTGCCGTCATGTACTGGAGAAAGGCTCTCAAGCAGGCCAAGGCTACTTCTTATGTGTGAGGACATGATATTATCACATCAGGATGCTACTGTAAGGACTGAATGAAATCATAATTAGCAAGCTTTCACAATGTGAATGGCAATCAAATGTTCTCAATATTTACTAAATTCATTTGATTTATTTTCATTTTAAAACTCATTTACTCATAGTCAGAAATAATATTAACTGACTTTAGTATACTGGCAAATTTGTCAGATGTTCTCTCTATTCTTGATAGAAATTAGCCCTCAAACACAAATCTTACAAACACAAGTGGGGCATCCTTTTAATTTACGTATATATTCATTCATTTATTTGACAAAATATTTAGTGAGTACCAATTTTTACAAGGTACTAAGCTATACAATGTGTGAATATGAAGATGAATTAGCTACATTGCATACCTATCATGAAATAACTCACAAAGTATTACAGAAGAGAGAATTTTGACTTGAATACCTAAGCATATAAGGTAGCTGTCCATGTAATAAATGCCACAAAGTGTTATAAACACTGCTATTCAAATATGAAAAAGTATGCCATCATTTCTATTTAAGTAACTTGCAAGGCATTTATCACATCATCCATGTCTGCTCTGTTGTTTGAAAGCACATAAAACTTTGTTGGGTGTAGCTTTCTACTGAGTTATTTTTAAAGGATAGAGGAAAGGAACTCATGGATATGAACTGGGAGACAGTCTTCTTTGTCAAGAGCTGAAGGTCTAACCATTAGGAACTGTCTTTAATCTGATACATTGGTAAGTTTGTAGTACCATGTTTGGTTATTTTGTTTGTTTGCTGGTTTACTGTGAATTAAAAATCAATGGTACACAAGAACTTATTGAATAAGGCAGGTATATATAGATCTAGTAGCCTCTAAACTTTCTGAAGCACAGTTATATTTTTAGAAGTAATGGCTTTAAATAGAAGATCCTTTTAAACAAAAATATCAATTAGAGCTCCAGAAAATGGCAACTACACAAACTGTTACTCTATGCAGTGGAAATTATGTAAGAATGAAGATGCTAGATTTATGAAGTATTCCAGCTGGGAGAACAGTAACAACTAGAACACTGAAATCCTAATTCCATCTTAACTCTGACTCTAGTTACTTATCTGTATAAAATAGTTACTTAATCTCTCTGACCCTTAGTTCTCTTATGAGTGCATCAGCATCAGGCTGGATGCTAATCGTTTTATATTCATTTTAAAGGTAATACAAATATTTAGTTGTGTGTGTGTGTGTGTATGTGTGTGTGTGTGTAAAAGGGGCAAGTATATTGGAATATGGAAGAAGGGTAATGATAGAAACACATTCAGAAAGAAAGAAACACAGAGAGAGACAGTGAGAGAGATGATCCATGCAAGGAGAACAATACATTTTGTTAGTATGCTCCTTCACCTGGTACCTGAGATGATATATATTGTTGCCTAATGTGCACAAAGGAGAGGTTCATGTTGGAGTAGATTACAGAAATAAATACACAAAGGTGAAGTCATATTTAAATACAGAGGCTTGACTATATGGAGCTTTGTGGAGCATTACTAAATTGTTTTTCTATATGTATTCAGTAGTATGATGATCATATATCTATATCTACATCTATCTATCTATCTATCTATCTATCTATCTATCTATCTATCTATCATCTATCTATCTATCAATCATCTATCATCTATCTATCTATCTATCTATCTATCATCTATCTATCTATCTATCTATCTCTATCATCCATAACTATCTCTCTATCTCTATCTCTAGCAACTATATCTATATCATCTATATCTATCTATACTGTTTCATAGGTTACTACTCAGAAAATAAACAACTAAAGGGGAGAGGAATTTTAAGTATATTGCATGAGACTATAAATTATGTGAGAGAAGCAGCTTGAATTAATAAATCCAAAGAAGTGAAGGAAATGTGAAATCAGACAAATACACTGAAGCTAAGAAGTGCATATAGGATGTAGTAAAATCTTGAATTTGGAATGTGAGAAAATCAGGATAAATGAACAATAGCGCCTAGAGCAACATCTTGGTGGTGAAGAACATTTGCTTCAAAATCATGAGGACCAGAGTTTGGGACACAGCACCCACATATCAGTCCTGATATCCTACAAACACCTGTAACTCCAGGTTAGAGTCATCTGATGCTCCTTTCTGGCCTCTGTACATGCACACATAGAGATTGATACACGTATGAATAGATACAAATTTAAAACTATCAAACAAAACAGAAACATGAAACTAGTGTTTCTGGTGAGAGCAAATGATGGACAGTGATGGTGTTTCTGGAAATGAGAAAATAAATCTGCTCTACAATCAGTTCTGCAGATGGAACAGGGAATTATGGAAAGCTGAAGTCACAGATTTGATCACAGCTAAGGTACCAATTGAATATCTGGGGAAGCTGAGTGGACAGTAGATAAGAAAGTTCATTCTGGGAAGAGATGATGATAGAGATACAATTTAGGATCATCAGCATTTACATCACATTACGACTATGGATGTTATCTCCATGGTTCCTGTCATAGACAGAAGCAGCTTCAATCAGAACAGCCCTAGATAACTATGAGTCTTAGAAGGCAGGAAGGAGAAGAAGGATGGTGAGCAGGAACAGCCAATGGGAAGGAGAAAGGAAACTAGATGGAGTCAACATATTACAAATCAAGGAGGAAAAAGCATTTCTCTGTCTCTGTCTGTCTCTTGACTCTCTCTCTCTCTCTCTCTCTCTTTGTTTGTGTGTGGGGGTGCGTATGTGCCTGTGTGTGTGTGTGTTCTATCTGTCTCCCTGTCTTCCTCCCACCATACCCAGGAATTCAAGCCACATTTATCTGAAAGTTGACTATTTGATAAGACAGCATAGATACACTGACAACATTGGCTCAGTGGTAGTTTAAATGAGAACTATTTTTCAAAGGCTTAGATATTTGAACACTTGGTCACCAGTTAGTTGGTGGTACTGTTTTAGAAGCTTAAGGAGTTTGGCCTTACTGAAAGAAGTATGTCACTAGGGACAGGTTTGAGGATTCATATAGTCTTTCTGCTTTCAGTTATCTGTCTCTGGTCTTTTGTGGGTCAACGGAGATGTTGTGTCTCAGCTTCCTGCTCTTAGCACCTGTTGCTATACCTCCCTGGCCACTATGGACTCTCCCCTTAAAATGATAAGTCCAAATATACTCTTACTTCTGTAAGTTGCTTCTTGTCATAGTTTTTGATTATAATAAAAGAAAACAATACAGCTACCATTGTTTCAATAAGGAGCAAGTATGAAAGGAGAATGAAAGCAAACAATATAAAGAAGAAAAAGAGACTACTTTTATAGGTTCTATGCAAATGAATGCTGGAGTTTTAGTTGGTATAAAAATGATCCCAATGATTGATTTAAAATAGGGGTTAAGGCATATTGTAAATGTTTACAGGCATACAGCAAAGAACCATAAGGAGGAAATTTGATGTGGAAGCGTGAGAAAGAGATACATATAGTTCAGTTCATACATAAGCAATGGGGTTATCAACATGATCCTCATATGGTAACATACATATACGAGCTGGATTTGTTGCGACAACAAGAGTATCATTTGCTCAGTATTTCTTTCCTTGGTGATATGACCAAAGACAATGGTGGTGATAATTACTACTTCCTCTCTCAGAGTTTGGTGTTGTTGATAGAAGCTCGAGTAGTATTCTATTTCCTGTTTGGCAAATGCTCTGAATTGTATTCCTAACTTCAAGGAAATATTCTTAGTGAAGAAGATAGTGAACTCTAAAAACTCAGACCAAATGTGTCATTCATCTTATTGGATGAAATGTGTGGTAATCCCAATCTTGTGGCCAAAAGTACCCAGATGGCAGCTTGGCATTATTCTCCAGACACATTCTATTGATAGGGGCTGGGATACTAATTGGTGGAGAAACTAACTTAACTATAGTTGAGTTTTGTTTGCTTTCAAGTAAATACTGGTGAGATGGAGAAGCAAGGCAGATGAGATAGAAAAAGAAACAAGACAAAGGAATAATGAGGACCTATGGGAGATGGGGTGTATGGTAGAACTGTTGGCTGGGGGCAATAAAGTAAGTTAGCAGAAAACTATTAATATGGAGATAGAAAGAAGGATGATGGAAACCGACACCAAGCATTGGTTTAGTTTGATGTGCAATTGAATCGACGTGGGAAGGAGCCAAGATCATTGCAGGTACCATAAAGAACTAACAGTTCAGGGAATCAGATGGATTATCTGCGTGAACAGTGTAATTACCAAGATTGATCATGGAGGTAATTGGAAAGGAAGTGATCCCCAGACACTAATTTCTTCAGCGAATGTAGGAGGGAGACGGAAACCTCCACAAGGAGGGCCAGTAAGTGAATGTCTGATAACACTCAATTTAATTGAGCTCAGCTGTGGAAGCATGAAAACTGGACCTAGTAAACTAGGAAAAATTCAACTGTGATGATGATGATGATGGAATCAGATCAATGATATCAATGGACATTTAAGATTTCTAAAAGAGAAATTCACATTAGTACAAAGAACTTCTTGAAATGTAGCCTTCTGTTTGCTAACATTGATGATATAAAGATATAATTACATACTAATGACCATGACTGATGATTATAAATGATATGGCCTGCAACAATCTTCAGTCATTCTTATTTGCCTGTAATAATCCCATAAAATGTAATTATTTCTGATGATTTAGTGTTTATAAAAGCAGTGCAAACTGAAAGCATTTTAATGTTTTCTATATTTGGTACCAAATTATACTGACCAGGATTATTAGACTGAGCTTCCATGGGAATCATAAGCTTGGCCCTGGTGGCCCGGCGTGCTGCAAGGGACCTCTCTAGAGTGGACATGGAGCTCCCTGCTTCCTCAGTATCTTGACCTGAAAGGAAATAAATTAACAATGATAAAATCAATATTAAAAGTTTCCAAATAAATATATGTTTCTCTAAGTTAAAAAAACTATATATAAGTGATTTGATTTTATACATAAGGGACATTATGCACCAGAAAATCTCTTAGATTTAAGCAGCATGATGTAATGGCTACATAAAAATAGTAGGAAGAACAAAGTTGGTGGAATCATCACATGTGACCTCAAAGTATACTTCAGAGCCATAGTAGCTAAAACTACCTGGTATATGGTATTGGCAGAAAAACAAATATGTAGAAATAATACATGGTCCAGAAATAAACCCACACAGTTATAGCCACATAACTTTCAACAAAAGTACCAAGCATTTGTGTTGGGTGGATGCGGGCCATGCTTAAAAAAATATCATTAATTTTGGGAAAAATGGAAAAGAAAGTACCTTTCTTTCATAGAAACATGATATATAAAAATTCAACAAAAGATAGATGAAAATGGAGCTCGGAACTGACAAATATTTAAAGGTAAAAATTCTCCAAATTTAGCAACAGACATAAACACATCCATAATTAAGAAAATTATGAAAATTCATAGTGAGATCAATAAAAATCTATGCCAGATACATTGCTGATGTATTCCTGAAAGCTAGAGACAATAACTAATTTTGAAGGCAGTGAGAAGACAGAAACCTAGGCCAAATATAGTGGTGTAGCATCGTGAATGACAGTGGGATTTCCGTATCTTACAGTTCTCAGATGCTGTAAGACATAAGTGACAAAACTTTCAAGTTTCAAATGAGCTGATGATGCAGAAGTTATCCGGAGTGCATCACTAGTAAATGTGCTTCAAGAATAATGGTGAAGTCAGGTTATTTTCTGACAATACAAAATGAAAGAAAATTCTCTTTAGCACTTTAAGCCTGGTGGAATGGCAGCTCATTTTCTGTAAATCAGTGTAAATAATACAAGACACTTCAAAAATTGGAAGCACAATAATCAATAGGAAATATACAAAATCAATACAATTATTTCCTGTTTATTATTATTCAAAATAATGTTTACTAAGTGGAAATAAAACCAGAATAATATTTACTATATGAATTAATTCTCAAAAATAAATAAACAATAAACAAACAAACAAATATATAAATAAATAATGAAGGAAAATGTAATTCTAGATCCAGGTAAGGCAATCTTTCTACAGTTTTCAGATAAACCCTTTAATACTCTTAGCTGCCTGTGATTTTATATTTCTGACTCTGCAGCTACACTTTAATTCTCAGAATGAGCTATTCAGAATTATATTTACCTATTGAGAACTGTATCAAAATCTTTTCCATTACAATTTTTGACACATAGATGCTTTTGCTGTTTTATCATTTGTAGCTTTCTGTCACTGTAACAGATAACCCAGATAATCAACTTACAAACAGAAAAGTTGATAGTCTTAAGCTTTGGAAGTTTAATTCCGTAATTAAATTCTCTGTTGCTTTTAGATTCTGGAGAAGTAGCACATCATTTCTAAAATGGGCAGTGAAGGAAAACCATTTACCTGAGAGTCCAACTCATCCTTGGGAATGCATTTATCTAATGAACAAAGACATCTGATCTCTAGGCCATACCTCCTAACTTCACACCCCTTCCCCAAAGCACCATCTACTGAGTGTAGAGCAAGCAAAAGGGGTTTTGAGCAGCAACTATCCAGGCCAGAGCACGGAGCAACGTCTAAGGGCTTTTTAATGAATAAATTGACATTACTGACCATTTATCCATATAGGATTGAAAAATTTACATAATACCTCCAGTTAACATGTAGATAATTAAAAACAAACAATAAAAGTTACACTATAGAAGATGTTTTATGGTAAGCTTAGTTTTTTTAAAGGCAAATAAACAATTGTGACAACGTCAAAAGGTACTTTTCTATGCTTGAGTGCGAAAATTAGAGACCAATCCTCGGGATTTCTAAGATGGAGTTGTTCTGGGTTCCATTTCTAGAAGCAAATTCTATGTATAAACATGAGATAAAACACATCCAAGTGATTGGATCTCTTTCTCTTTTGTGAATTTTTTTTATGTGAAGAGAAGTTTGAACCCCATTCTGTGCAGAAGAGAGTTATCACTGCATGTGGACATCTACCATGTGACTTACTGTAAATTATATCACTAGGATGTTCTACTCATGTGGCTGAAGAAAAGGAGGTTTAAGCCAACTAACTACTATGGGCACAGAGGATAGAAGAAATTATGAAAAGCAAATGGAAAATTTTATTTGATAAAGCATATTTTATATTGATTCTGCTAATGCTCAGGTAACTTCCTTTTCTGTCACTGAAATCCAAACATTGTGTGTGAATTTTGAGTTTATTCAAAATTAATTTCATGCCTGGAGATGAAGTTAAGATCTTCTATAAAATTACTAAATAATGTTATTGAAATTTGGTTATTAAAACATGGATTTGAGGGTCAGAGCACAGATGGCTTCTGTCACAGATGACCAGTATTAACTGTACAAACTACAGTTTACATAAACTATGTATGCTACAGTCCTGTGTAACCCACAGTGCTAACTATGCGGTCTACAGTAATGGCTATATAAATTACAGTGGAGACTATGGAACATAGAACAATAGCCATATGAACCACCACAGTGATTCATGACCTCTTTGGGGTCACATATTAGATATGTTGCATATCAGATATTTACAACACTATAATTCATAACCATAGCAAAAATATTGTTGCGAATTTTCAGTGTAGTAATTTTATGGTTGGTATTCATCACAACATGAGGACCTGTATTAAAAGGGTCACAGCATTAAGTAGGTTGACAATTACTGAACTACAGCAGTGACAATGTAATCTACAGTACTATCTTACCTAAACTACTGACTATGTAAACTACAATAATGACCATGAAAGCTACAGTAAGACTCTGTAATCTACAGTTCTGACTACGAAACCATGTGCTATGCTCTACTGTATTAATTGTGCATTAACTATACTAACTAACTGCACTAGCCTACCATGCCAGGAAACCTACAATATAAACTATAATACTGACCTTGAGAACTATAGTACTACCATATAACCTACTATCCTGGCTGCGACCTATACTATACGACTGACTATATAACCTAAAGTGCTGGCAATATAACCTACTGACTATGTAAACTACAGGACTGAATATGCAACCATATGACTACATGACCTACCGTACTATATAACCTACTGTGCTAACTGTAAAACCTAAAGCTTGTTTAAGTTGCTTCATTTATTTTATGAGGAGAATAACACTTATCTCAAAGTATATTGCAGAGATTCTGTAAGGGTCATGTACGAAAAAGACAAGTATGGTGCTTAACAGAGTCACCATTTCTTTTGGAGTGATTGCCTCCTCAGGAACTTAATGATAAACCTAGAGCATAGTGGCACATACCATGCCCTTTTCTATCAAGCACTCAGGAAGTAGAGAAGGTAGGACCCTTGGCTACATTGGGACACTGGGGCAAGCTTGGTATACATGTGACCCATCTCAACAAAGCATTAACAATAAAAGCAAAGAAGGCAGCCAATAGATCCTTTCTCTTTAAGCAATGCTGTCCACATGTTGAGGACAAATAGATACAAGTGTTCTCTCATTCCAAAGCAAATAACCACCACTGGTATCAAATCTCTCTTGGCACTTTATTGAAACACATAAAGCTAGTCTAACTGCTAGAAGTGTCATCCCAGTATAGAAAGAAAAGGGGGATTAATGGCATCCTGGAAGGCAATGACCTCCACTGGAGGAAAAGGCATTCTGCTGCCCCTGGTGTCCAGTCCAGAATTAAGGTGCAAGATGAATTCTCTGAAAGGAGCAGAAATTCCTTCAAGGAAATTGCTTTCTTTTTTTCTGTAGATGGAAGGAAGTCTTTTCTAACTGTGGCCTTGCTGACCTCTCATGTGTCTGTCTAAACAGAGGGAGACGTAACAGAAAGAGCCAAGGACTACAGAAGTATAAGATCTCTTATTGCTGGTCTTGGCAAGGATGTTGGAACTTCTTATGGGCCAAGTGGCCATACAAAATGTTACTGAGGCTTGATTCCTCTTCCTAGAACTGCCTAAGTAGTTTTATGCAGTGAAGAACCCGTGGTTTTGCAAGGAAAGCCATAACTTGGTTTCTAATATTAAAGACTTGGACGAAGAAGAAATTCCACAAATAAGTGGAATACACACATGCACACTAGGAAAGATGTAGCACATGGATGCTACTTAGGACCCCCGTAGAGAAAAGAAGTGAAGAATTCCAGAAGCTCTTTCGACTCTTCTCATTTTTCTGGCATTTCCTTTCTCTCATGTGCCCCTAAAGAATGGAAAGGCTGGGCTCTGTGGGTTGGTTTTTGACTGTTATTCAAGAATCTATATATTAGAGACTTGGCTGCCAGCTTGTGGGGCTACCGGGATGTGAGAACATTTGGAAAGAAGTTAGGTTGTTGAGAAAATAACTTTAGAGGGAGTTTTGGGTGGTTATTATCTCTTAATGAGTTGTTTTTTTCTTATCTTCCCATCTGGCATTAGGTGAGCCAAAATCCTCTGCCTTATACTCTCACTGTGATTGATGGTGTTATCATCGACCCAAACAACAAGACCAGGCTCCCATAGACTGAGAGCTTTGACCCTGCAAGTCAGAAGAGCCTTTCCCCTTTATAGTTCAGTTATTCTGATATTTTCTCTATAATAATGGAAACATGGCTAACACAGGGAAATTCGTAAAGGTGATTCTGAAACAGACCTGAACCTTCTGCCTCATTTTCACATTTCAATCTGCTTGAAGGCACTAGAAGTTTGAAAGAACCCTAGTCTCCACGTTTAAATGTCTATCCAGCAATAAAGTAAGAGAACCTTTAAAAATCTAGGTTGTTGTTTCCAATATGACTAGGCCGCCCTTTAATCTGCTGGGATGCCATTCAAAGGCTGGGAGAGGAATATCCAGCTCATGGTTGAAAACTCAGAGACTAAAATCCATGTTTCAGAATTCTTAAAATAAAAAAGTTGAGAAAACGAGTTGCCTATTAACTTGACTGAGATGTTTAATTTACTTTAAAAAGAGTGGGCATTCATTTTACAAGTTCTGGAGATGAGCTTACATGTTACTGTACTTTTAGTAAACAAATACTCGATGCCCTCCAGAACAGTGTATTTTAGAACCACTCTACTGAATTCTTAGTGATCCCTGGTCTTCAGTTATTATTCTGCCCTCTATTGAACAATTGGCACTTCTTTCATTTGCCTCTGTATATCAACAGCTTTCAAATGACTGTGTCCAGTGAGGGACCACAAAATAATGTGACTAGAGATGACAGTTGATCTCCATGGTAATGAATGTCAAAATAATGATGTTTTCATTCCTCCAGTGCTCCTAATGCTATTTTTTCAAACAATAAATTGATGGCAAATTGAGAATCATCTTGTAATGGCCCACAGAGATTCAGGAGTGAAAAACTGTATGGCTAGCCTCAAACTGTATTGCCTTAACAACACTTTTGTACAAGATCGGAAAAAGCGATCATTTCAATTAGGCCTCTCACATCGTTATTTTCCAGCTGCATTGCTGCTAAATTATAAAATCCTTCCAGATTGTTCGAATTAGAGAAGGCAGGCAACAGGATGATAGAGGGCACAGATGTGTCACCAAATTTTCATCAGCTAGTTTTAATTGCTAAATGACACAAAATAGTGTGCAAAAATATCAGAAGCTACCTCCATCAAAGAGACAATACAGAGTCCCGCAGTGGACTTTTCTGATCTTAGAGTGAATATCATTACCTGAGTGGGAGGCACTTTTGCTTCCCATCTGAGTTTCTGACTGGCTATGGCTGACTGGTGTGAGGTCTTGGCAGCTCTGGATGGGGGAGTCTCTTCCTGCAGGGTCAGTTCCTGCAGGCTTCTCGATATTTTTCATTTCCATTTCTTCATGATGTATCCAAAGATCGGGAGGCCGGAGGTCCTTCTGACTGCCCTTCCTCTTGCTCACACTGTGCGTGGCCCGTTTCCTATGCAATGAAGTTAGAGAGCAGATGTGAGTGCTTCAAGCCCGTGGTGTGTCCTATCTTTCCTCATTCAGTTCAGGTTGCAAGCAGAGCAAAGAAACAAAAAGGATTCCCTGGAGGAATCAGATGAAACCCCAAAATTGGCAGACTTATCCTGGCTGTCTTTCCTTTCCTCCCCCAGAGCCTCAGCACATTTCTAGGAGACGCTGAGCTGAATCCCTAGGGTCCCCACTGCCTGCCAGAAGCCTTTCTCCAGCCTCAGCAGCTGGAGATTCATGCACAAGGTGACAATGGGTTGGAGGGAGCCATATGCCAATCTTTGGAGGTAGGCATAAGGTACCTGACTGCAACATCTGTTTCAGAGATAAATGAACGAGTAGCTTTGAAAGGGCAGATAGAAATAAAAAGGCCAGAATTTGTGCCAACAGCTAAGATTGGAGCTTAGAGGAAAGTCTATGCCTCAGCTGTATAATTTAATGTGCAACTCGGACGTTTGCTATTTGAAAACAAAAGGCCGCAGGAGGACATTCTTGGGTGAATAAAACAGTTTGCCTTGGAGCCCTTGAACGTCTGGGTACAAACACAATGAGGGTTGTCTTTTGAAATTAGAAGAGAAAGAAAGATTCCCTTCTCTAGAAATGTATTTCAAACTTCTCTTATTTGTCCAGTATGATTTTAGCTACCCTACATTTAATACCTTGTCTTCAGTGATGGTCAAATCTTCAGGTTACTCAGACTCAAATACTCCATGTATAAAGTAAAGTACCATGGTGATTATTATACTAACTAGACTTTTTTTTTAAAACCGGGAAGCTACAAAACCATGGCTTACAGGCCAAATCTACCTCAATCTATAATAAAGTTTTATTGAAATGGGGTGGGGTTTCTTTGCATGTGTACTGCAAGGATAGAACTTAGTAACAATGTTTGTTAAGTGGCCAAGACAAACTAATTGTGGTGTGTGTGTATGTGTGTGTGTGTGTGTGTGTGTGTGTGTGCAGGTGTGTGCATAGAGGACAGAAGTCAACCTTTGCTGTTATTCATCAAAACCAGTCTACCTGTTTTGTGCATCAGGGTCCTGTAAACCACCATTTATGCTAGGCTGGCTTGTCTATCTCCGCTTTCCCAGGGCTTGATCTAAAATGATTGTGCTTTACATGGATGCTAGGGATTCATCTCAAGTCTTCATGTCCATTCAGCAAACACTTCACTGAATGAGGCATTCACTATTCCCCAAAACAAGCTAATCATAATGAGAAACTGTAACCTATGCAAAACCACTGGGAATGACTTTTCTTTTTCAATTACCAACTTAGAAGCTTTGCAAATATCTTTCCAATTAATGCTTTGTAGTACAATTTATTGAAATTTCTCAGCATTCTCTTCTGTCTTTCAGAAGTAGGGCTGATGAGGAGAGGAGACAAGAACTCCAGACTTAATAGCTGCTTTGTGGTTTCATAGAGAAATGATGTATGCTTAAAGCTATAATAGCTTCTCAACAACTGCCTAGTTGGAATTATGACAGTAGCCTCACATTGTCTCCAACAGCCCTTGAGCCTTAATCCTGGGTAGTTTTCTGGTGTCTGAGCCAATAATCACCGACCTCCATCATATGAATCCATGATCCTATACTTCGGCTGCCCTCCTCAACAGATCAGCAATATGCACAGAACTCTATGTTGCCTACCACTCGTGCCATTAGAAGTGGCATTAGTTTTTTCTCGTGGTTAAAGCTGGCAGGTTCACCCTGTTGTCTATTGGACCAAACTGTTAAATAGCTTCAGCATCTCCATGGTTGTCTTTAGAGAAGCATCAGCTCCCACACTCAGGATGACACCATGTGCTTCCTAGTAGTAACCCAATACTTAAATAGCCCATAAAAAGTTCTGATCCAAACTTTCTAGTAGGGGTAGAGAGATGGCTCAGTTGTTCAAAGCACTTGCTGATCTTCCCTGAGACCCATGCTTGCTCCATATTGCCATAGTCAGGGAGGCAGACAATGACCTGTAACTACAAGTCCAAGGCATCTGATTCCTCTTACACTTCTCTGGGCAAGTACACATAGCACACACACACACACACACACACACACACACACACACACGCACAAATTGACATTAAGATTAAATCTTTAAAAAATTCTGTTTTTGTGGAAAACAAGGTAAGATGGGTTAAGTCTTTAATACCAGAATTTAAGTGGCTAAAGCAAAAAGACAAGTTGAGTTTTAGGGCTACATAGTGAGTAGCAAGCAGGCTCACATAGTCATGATCTCAAAGTAAGAAGAAGTCCTGATTCCTGATAAATGCAGACAGTTTTGCTACTGGGCTTTTGTCAGATTCAGATGTTGATGCACCTCTAAACTGCCCATCTGGATGCCAGTGAAATCCTGAAGGTCTCTAACCAGGTTCATCTCCTGTGTATGTGTGTGTGTGTGTTTTCTCAGTAATTGTTTTACCCTAACTCCTCTTCACAATGTCTTTTTTTTTCTTTCAGGAGTGGGGCCTTCTGCTCTGCAGTGCTTCTTTCTCTCCAGCCTTTCCAACTGCACTGTAGCAGATGTGCAATAAACCCAGCAAGTGCTCCGACCTCAGGTTTCTGAAATTTGTCTTCAAACTCTACAAAGGGCAGCTGTCATCTCGACCTCCTGCCCATCTGTTCTTCCCATAGCTTAACTGCAAGTGATGGCAGTACTCAGCTCTCTGTTTTCTGCAGTAGAAATCTTTTTAACACGTATGCAGGTAAACTTAGTGATGGCTTTCCAAAGTCTGGTGAGGGAGCACAGCCAGCAGTATTGCCTGTGAACTTCTCAGGACTACTGAACCTAGCGGCCATATTGAGGGTTGGGGTGATCTGGGTATTAACAGGCAAATCTAACACTGGTAAAATACTGCCAATTGATTTATTTAGTTTTGTTTGCTTATATTTTAAATATAATGTTTCTGTTAAGTAAAGAAATACCATCCGTTAACCCTTCCTCACAATGCAAAAAATATTATTTCTCACAGTTATACTACCTTCTTTCAAAACATACCTTTAGGATGGGGGGCATGTCTTCTTGCTGCAGGTATTCTCAAAGGCAAAGCCCACAATTCACTAGGCCCTCTGCTTTGGCATATTAGTGTCATCAAGTAAAGCATTTTGAGCATGAGGGGCTTCTGGGGTTCAAATTTATCTACTTGATTACATTCTGTCCTAAAGACTTTGGAATCCTGTTGACTTAAAATCTACTTACTTTTAAGAATTCTTTTCACTTTTTAAGAGAGAGCCCTGCTAGCCATTTTACCTCAGTGAAATCTTCACTGAGAGAATCTTCACTGAGAATTCCTCTACTTATGCCTCTCAGGTAGGCATTGGGTGCCCAATGTCTCACTGAGCTGCCGTGTTATTTCTCTGACCTAATATAATTCTTCTGGCAATGCAGGGAGACCCTTTGCTGTACTTCTTCAGCAGTGTCCAATGTTTTACAGTAATACACCACTTAGCAAGAATTTGTAGAAAAACAAACATGTCAAGAAACATATCTAGTAGTATCTATACAAACATGGGTGAGGTATTGATTCATGTTACATGTTGAAAAGGAGGATGGCTTTTGCAATTTCTGTTTTATTGCAGTAAGAAGATTGTACCAGAATATGGTAGATGGTAGGCTGAAACGGGAGAGTTAAGTCACTGGAGGCCTTGCCTCCTGCAGAAATATTTTGAATAATATCCTCAAGTCAATGAGTAATTGCAGAGATGTTTTAGTTCAAATGTTAATGTTTGTCACACTCACTATTTGTATGAAGCCAAGTCACATAGATATCATCCATGTAAAGATAACAGGGACACACAGAGATGACCTCTCCATTATTGTTATTTGAAAGCTCCTTCACATATTCCTTACAGGTCTGCCTGCCCCATGCTTTTCACTGAAAGAAAACCTTCTTCATTTTTCAAGATCATGTTGGGGGTGTGAGTGGGTTAAAAGCCACATGGAGGGCTGGAGAGATGCCTCAGCAGTTAAGAGCAGTAACTGTTCTTCAAGAGGTCCTGAGTTCAATTTCCAGCATCCACATGGTGGCTCACGACCATCTGTAATGGGATCTGATCCTCTCTTCTGGTGTGTCTGAAGACAGCTGTAGTGGACTCATATACATTAAATAAATAAATAAATAAATAAATAATCCTTTTTTAAAAAGCCACATTGATTGAAAGTTTGCTGTACTTATGACTTTATTCAGTGTAGTGTTCTATGCACTGCTGTCCTCATGTAGATGCTTTTTCATGTTGTAATAAATCTTTCAGGCCCCATGATGTGCTACGAATCCTGGCAGACTAATAAGCAAGCAGTCATCTATTCTCTCCCTTGTTACCAGCATGCTCAAGGTCCAGTGGTCTCTTGCCCACCTGTGTAGAGAGGACATCAGGAAAGAGGAGACTTTGCAAGGAGTTGAAGACACAGCCCAGGCTGTACAGGAAAGGGAGGATGGGGATGGGTAGTGTCAATAGTCTCCTGCTTTCTCCACTCCCTCTGTTGTCTAGTTATGCTCTAGTAGTAGCTATTAACCTTGTATTAGAAACTCAGAAAGGGTCAATGTTTGATGAGACCTGTGTTCTTTAAGGCCCAGTCAATTGACCATAAAATACTAAGAAGTTGCCAGTAAGACACCTTGAGAAGGGAATAGGCAAAAGCAATTAAAATGTTAAAGAACTGAAAACCAAAGTCTTATTCAAAGTTAAAAGGCAATTAACATTATTTGGGAATTTAAACAGTTGATCTGCAGTATTTAAAATCATCATTTTTGTCAAGATTTGAATTTATGCTGTACTTTAAAACTTGCTACACACGTTAAATTAAACATAAGGCTCAGCTGACAACTGATTATATCAAGTGGAAGTTTTTTTAACATATTTTAATTTAAAGTATTAAGAAAAGATTGCTGTCTATTCTGATAACTGCCTTGTGATTATAATAACTGTGTGATCTGAATTTCCATGATAGGTTCCATATTAACCTTTTAATCTTTATTAATTATATACAGAATAAAACTGAACTCAATTTTTATGTTCACAAGGAAAATATTCTTACTTTATTTAAAAAATGTACAGGAAAACACCCACAAACTTTGATTTCAATAAAACATAATTCTTCTATATTACAATATTCTATTGTAATCACACTAGCTGCAAAAATATATGGAATTCTCTTCCATGTAAGGAAACTTTAATTACCAAAACTACACACAATTACCTCTGTTTTATATTACTTGAAAATTCTAGGCTGCTGTGTGATTTTTGTAATTTACAATTATAATACCTTGAATCTATGTGTTTTAGATTGGGCTGGATGATGGAAATACTCGGGCTGATTCTTACCAGGGCTAAACAAGCTGATACCTACTCGCTGGTGTTTCAGGTAGATACCCAGATTATTATTAAAAAGATGATATGTATCAATAAAATGGGATGAAACAAATGTGTAAATACTAATTGTAATAAGAAATTCCTGATAGTTGATAACGCATTCAATTTCCTGGGATGTAATAATTTGCATTCCCAGTAACAAACAACGAAAACCTCATTCTTCAGCTGTCTCAGAAGCAGAGAGGAAAGAGGCCCTGGCTGTGTTTCCTAGTCTCCAGCACTAACTTGCATTTCACTCCCAACGTCAGAGAGCTCAGTAAAGAGGTTTTTTTGTTTGTTTGTTTCAGATTGGAATTGATTTTTGCTTTCATCTGCATTAATTGGTTCTAATGTTTCCATGGCAGAAATAGCATTGGGGAAAGTCCTCACTGGAAAAAAAAATAAAACCTACAAATAATTGCAAGAAAAAAAATCTCTACCTTTTCTCTTAACATACATCTGAAAATACAATATATATATATTAGATTTTATTATAATTATGTATTTATAATTCAAAAATTATATATACATGTATAGTACAATTTAATTTTTTGAAATTAAAATATAATTGCATGTTTTATCTATTTTCCTTTCTTACCTCCAAGCCCTCCCACATATCCCTCCTTTGCTCTCTACAAATTCATGGATTCTTTTACTTTAATAGCTGTCTTATACACACACACACGCACACACACACACACACACACATACATATAATTATAACCTGTTCAATCAGTATATAATTTTTAAATTGCATTTATTTGTTTTGTGTCTGCACATGCTTGTGTGCTATAGATGCATGTGGAGGTCAGAAGAATCTTTTGGGAATGAGCTCCTTCACCTAGATATTGCATTAGGAACCTCATGCTTGATAGTAGGTACTTTTATGCTGAGCCATCTGCCAAGACCTTGGGAAGAATGTTATCAGAAAACAAGACAAAGGTCAGTGGATCTGTCATTGTTGACATGAGAGAAAGTGTGGAATTCTATCAAGTAATGAGAGATTGTGAGTTAGATGAGGAAAAAACCAAAGTTCAGTTTCTCTGGGTCCTCAGTCATTCACAGATTGTAATTTATCCCCTCACTCTCTATCTTCATTAACTAGCTATGTTTAGGAAACACTACCTTTTCCAGATAAAAAATTTCAAGTTCTTATTATCACAAAGGCTTTCCTGTGGGTTTCCAGATGATTTGAGGTAACCTGACAAATTTTAGGTTTTCACCGTTACAGAACAGACATTTTCCCTGTAGAGGGACAGTACATACCCAGGACCATAGTTCATCAGTCAGTATGATGACCACTAAATAATGAGGGAAGCAAGCATCTGAAACTCCAACTCTCTACAGATAATATAGCTAAATTGAGGGTATTGATGAATGTGCCAATGCTGTAACCACTGGTCATTCAACACCTTCTCTCCTCTTCATGTGAATTCTTGGTTCTGCCTCTGAAACTTGATGCTTTGATGATACACCATGCCATGTATGAACAACCCTTCTTAGGAATACCATACCACAAGATTTTTCAAGGTGTTACTGACAAGATTTGCACATGGTTCGTCTTCAGGGAAAAGTATTTTGAGACTTATCCCTAAGGTGACAGTGTGACTCATGTGGAGATCGCTAAAATGATGAATGTTTTTATTTCAGGGTGGGTCATATTGTGTGGTCTAAGTTTTTCTGTCAAGAAAATGGGTTCATGCAGCTTTCAAAGTAAGTCTACCTCTCATCTCTTGCTGCCTGTCTTGTCATGGCATATCCCTTCCATATTTGTCTTCATGTTCTCCTTTGTAACCTTGCATATAGTCATAGTAGGTGACCCTGTCCATAAATTAACACATGCAGTGCTATGCTCTTGGACTGCCATAACTTTGAATCCAAATAAACCTATATATCCTTGGTAGATTATTCATCTTCAGGTATTTGGTTATAACGGTCTAAGACATTCACTCAATTAGTTCTAACACTGTCTTCTCGTGGCGTTCACACCTGAAAACAAACTTGTTAAGATCATCACCTTTCTCTTTCAGGCAGTGTACTGTCTTACTAGGAATTACCGGGAATTACAACCCATGACTGCAGCTACACCTAAATTAAATGCTGAGTCTGTGCCTCTCTGGTGGTCTCTGCTGGATGTTTTCTTCACCTGTTCTGTTTCTACATACAGTGCCTAGGGACACAAAAGACACCATCACTAGATCTATAAGGTACATAAGAGTGTGAGAGAGACCAGGCATGAGAGAAGAGCAAAACAACTTGCTAGAGAATCTTTGTTGATGTTGAATGTAGAGAAGAGTTGCCAAGCTTGCAGCCCAGCCTCAGCACAAGCCTGAGGCACAGGACAAACCAAAAGGAATGAGAACAAAAAAGCATTCCATCCAGAGAGTACATGAGTGTTGCTGAAAATACATATCAGACTGGACTTGACAAAAACCGGAAAGTCAAATAACTAAAGTCAATGTCTCGGGTGACTCCTAGAATCTGCAAACACAGGCAAACATTGTGCTGGTCACGAGGCATAGCTGGGAAGGGTGAGATGTGATAAAACCATATAGTCATTCTTAATTTTGTATGATGCAACCTTCTCAAAACAGTAAAATCAACAACTGTAAAATAGGAAATTATTTTGGAGACATTATGTTATGTTCTGACATTTAAACATAGACAAGAAATAGTAACCTTTTTCTAACAACTGGACTCTTCTTTCTTTCCTAGTGCCTAAGAGCTAAGCATCCCTGTGTTTCCAATGACATTGAGTTTGATGCTATATTTAGTCATCTATTCAACTAGCATTGATTATCTACCTGCAGGCCTCTCTGTCAAATGTGATAAATAAGTATTGTGGAGGAACAGTATCTCTAACTGTCTAGAAGCAGAGGTAGAGAGGGTAGAGAAGGGGCTTAGTGTAGTCTCTCTCTGGGTGCTATTTACATGAGAATTTGCCCCTGAGAAGTAAAAACAAACAAAAATACAAGATAGTCCCCAGGGTTGTGTTGTAAAAATCTTCAAATCTAGCTGTGACAGAAATGGGTTTAATCAGGGTCAAGCCATAAGAGACACATGAGAATTATTAAAGAACAGAAGAAGAAGAAGAAGAAGAAGAAGAAGAAGAAGAAGAAGAAGAAGAAGAAGAAGAAGAAGAAGAA